CAGTCCCCAACTTTTGAGGCGCTTGAAGCACGTCTTCTCCTTGCACCTGCGGCAGATTCCATGCCTCCACGCTGCTTTGGGCTTAGGGGTTTAGTGGAAGCAGCTCGCATCAGCTCGCTGTGGCTCCATTCCCGCAGCTCAGGTCGTGCAATCTCTTCGCTGCTTTAAACGCAGCCGTTACCGCAGCTTGGGCCAGGAGTCTGCAAAGAGCTTGTCCACTCTGCATGTTCCCAAACAGCATTTGTCAGGATGGAGAAGAAGAGGCAGAGGATGGGGTTGCACAGGGTGAGCACAGGGGAATGCCGCTGTTGACAGCTTCGCACCAACTAGTTGAGCCCGGCGCCGGAAGGCCATCATAGCTATTTCATCAAGGCAGATCGACCTCGAATATTGGCTGGGGCTGGTAAGCGGTGAAATCATCAGAAATGCGGAAAGACCGGACAATGCCTGATATAATGTCCCAAGCAACCGCCCGGCCCAACTTAAACAACGCTGAAAGAGCGCGCTTGCTTCCAAGAGCAAGAGGAGAGGGCATTTCCTTAGAGATTCGAATGTGCAGTGTCGCGCAAGGACCGTCAGCAGCATGTGAACTTCGCTTTCGGCCAAGCCCGTGACCGAAGCCCACCGTAGTATGGAGCCATCTAAGTAGAGATGCCCAGGTTGTCATGAAGCTGTCATTGGTGTCCATGGTGGCGGTTACTGTCCTCTGCCCTGATCTTGACCGATCTTGAATCTGGGCACAGTGATGCTCTTTGGATAGAAAGAAGCTGATTCTTCAAGGCCTTGTACGATCTGGCGAGGAGGATTTGGACCCCAGAGCTGGATCCTGAAAAGTGAGCCTCAAAAGGATTGCAAAACCAATTCCTTTGCACGGCTTTGCGCAGCTCTTTGATTCACCGAGTTTCTCTCTACGAGGCCAAAAGCACGGAGGAGTACGAGAAGCTTCGTTTCAAGGAGGACTCGCCTTTGGTGCCTTGCCAGACTGCTGCTGGGGTGCTCGTTGCTTTTTGTCAGGATTTCCAAAAGGTCTCATGGGCTTCATTCTTCAGAGTACAGAACAGCTTGCACCTCTAAGGGGCGATCTCCAAGCCTCCTCAGGTCCTTCCTAGTCTTGAACGCTGATTGCGGTTCGTCCTGCACCAGTGCTCCTGGTCCTGTAGACGTGTCAGCAGCAGGCCCAGGCTGGAGGAAGGTCTGTGACGAAGGAATTGCAGGAGCCATGCAAGTCAAGGTATGTTCACCCGAACTAATGGATGCACAGGACAAATACCAAAGAGAGTTGATGGCAGCATTGTTCGCAGATGGAATTGTGCTTGTAGAAGGCTACGCTTCGCATCGGGCATGTTAGTGAGCTCTCACATGATGCTTCAAAGTGTGGAACTAGCATCTCCATAGCAAAAGATGCAAAGAATGCCAGATTCGAAAACGGAATATACAGGGCCCTGCATAGAAGGCAGTTAACTTCCTTGCGTAGAGAGTTTTATTCGATATGACTGGTGTTATAGGGGTGTTTTCATAGAAATGCTTGGAATTGTTTCTACAACTGCATGAACATCTTTGAGGTTGCGAAACTTGTAGTGGTATCCCTGTGATGGAGATGATCATGACATGATGATGTTCCCATCGGACTTGCATGGGAGGCTCCTTTCCAAATGTGCAGGGCACTACGTACGTCCAGACTGCTGACGTGATAGGTTTTGCATGCGAGTGTGCCACACCTCCATGCGCAGTATGATGGTGGAGCATCTTCGCCTGAGAAGCCTTGAAATGGTATGTATGGGGGACCTCCTGTTTTGAAAGTACAGTGGCTTGCATTTGGATTGACAGGAAGTATGTTGGGGTCTCCATGTAACATGATGATACATGATGGCTTCGTGCATCTCTAGTCTAATGAAAGATTCAGCAGGGGCACTCACATGAGGATGAGGGGTGGTAATTTCATGGAGATCCTCAGATTAGGATGCAGGATGACGCAGGTGGAAGAGCGTAAGACAGCAGTTACGAATGGGTGTTGGATTGTCAGGTGCTGTACCTGGCCACGGTGGAGATGCTTATCTGCAGAGCACACAGAGACAAGCGTGCATCACATGCATCACCGCATCTGTCCGCATCACTGGTTCTAGTTCTCAGGTGGGTCCTGTGCAGCCACGGCCGCTGCCATGTATTCTCGAGCACCGCCGGGAGCTCTAAAGCCGCGGCGCGCCGCTTCGAAAGCTTCGCTCCTTGAGGCACCAGCTCCGGCACCCGGCAGAAGCTTCTGAAACCGAAGGTGTGGAGAGAAGTTTCGCGAAGGTGGGTCCAGGGTCCAGGGTCCAGGGCCTGCAGTGAGAAGGCTCGGAAGCTCAGGTGGAGCTGGCCAAGGACCCCGGCCTGGAGGCAAGGCAGAGCGGGCAGAGCGGGCAGAGGCACTGGCTCTCTTTTACCGCAAAAAAGCGTTTTAAAGGACTGCCAGCTCTATGGCCGGCACCTGATCATGTTTTCGCATCTGTGCTCTTCGCAGAAAAGAAGGAATACTCCTGCAGGGCTGGGATTCCGGCCGAGCCGCTGGCTTAGGCTGGCTTCGCGCCCTAAATAGGCTTGCTTCTTGCTTCGTGAGTGAGGGTTTTTTTTGCTTCCAAAGGCTCCGACGGTTTGGAGAGCCTCGTGGTTGAGGACGGTGACGCCATAAATAAAGTGCTTCAGAATCTCTGTGGTTTTGGGGGGAGGGCGGGTTTTGGGCGGAAGCTGGTTGAGGACATCCGCAAGGACTCCCTGCTCGACCGGTGGAATCACCGGACTTGCGACCCTTCTCCAGAGGCATCCGAGCATGAATGCAAGCAATGCAAGCGGGCATGGGAACAGATCAGAAGTTTGCCAGATCTCCTTCGCAGTGCGCAGCAGGTGTCCTCAAGGGAAAAGCCTTCGGAGGGAATCCCACCATCCTCCCGTCTCCCCTCGCGTCACCTAGTTGATAAGCAAAAGAAGTGCAACTGAAGACTTCACACAAAGGCGCCCTGCATTCTTGAATTAAAGCAAATGTACTCAAAAATGCCCAGAGTCGCACAGCTTCAGCACAGCACTTTTCTCACCACTTCAGGAGCTTGTCGAGCAGGCAGACAGGGAGGGGAAGAGGGGGGGAACGCGCTCGCTGCAAAGTGCCAAGGCCCTGGGAGAAGGCAACAAAGCGAGACGCGCAGCGAGCTCGCAGGTGCCCTGCCTTCGCAACTGAAGCAATGCGTGAGCAATGCGATGCGCTTTGTTCGCAGGACTCCTCCACAGCCCTCGCTGGGCTCCTGTGAGACCAGTTTACGTAGCAGACTTGTCTCTTCTTGGTAGGTGATCGGCTGCAGTATTGTGGCCGTCAACGACGTGTGCCCTCCTGCCTCACCTTCCCTCACCCCCCCGCCTCCCTCTCTCCCTCTCTCGTTTTCTCCCTCTCAAGGTATGCCGACGTCGGGCTGATGCAGCAGCAGCTGTCTCAGCCGCAGGCCTCACATGCCTCACGGGAGAGCTTCAAGCATGGAATGAAGTTGAAGGTGACGCTTTGGATCCGAAGTGAGAACGACGGGGCGAACCACCCCAGCGAGCTGGATGGTCGGGGTGGGGAAGGGGGGAAGGGAAAGAGAAGGCCTTGTTTTCGGCATGCTTCCAAAACAGGGCTTTCTCGTTGGACAGGAGTCTTCTCAGCTGGTGCCGGGTCACCAAGAGTTCTTTTTCTTTCAGCTCTTGCATCGCCGCAGCGTGCCGCAAGGCGGAGGAGGCTCCTGGTGCAAGCCCTGGAACCCCGATCCTTGTGTCAGCCTTTCTTTGAAGCGACCGACATCCCTTTAGGCCCGGGCCCGGGCCCCTCAACTCTGGGGGCCTCCGACGCCCCCGGCGAGCCCGGCGAGCCCGGCGGCAGCGAGCCTGGACACACTGGAGGCGAGCAGCGGCGAGCATACCCGTCAGTGTCACTCTTTGTGTCACTCTTTGTATGCTAGCGGCTCGAGACTGTCTGCGTGACTCATCCTGTCTCCATCTGCTCAGGGTCGATGGTGCCCCGTGTGGCGCGGACCGCTAGTTTGGGATTGGTCTCTACCGATCAAACGCTTGCAATGCTTGCAGTTTCAAAGGCCTGCATCGCCATGGAGGCCACGGCTCCAAAAAGTCTCAGCTTCTTTTTTCTAAATTCGGAAGCCGTGGAAGCAGGATGAGGAGGCGCGGATGGCGCCGCCCAAGTTTCTTCTGGACCAGACTTCTTGCCTACCACTTTTGCAGCCGTGGAATGTCGCAGCCGTTTTGTGTGCCAAGTTCGATACACATAAACTATCATAAACTATCATCAACATGAAAAATCACCCAAGCTCCCGGGGGTTTACAAGCAGGGCTGACACAGTGTGTCATGGACTCGTACAAACCCCTAAGGCCAAGGCTAGGCCGCCGACCAGGGCGAGGCCTAAGCCTCGAAGTCAAAGCCTGCACACGGCGTGAAAATGCGCGTGCTGTCTTG